TTGAATGGCTTAGTGTCACAGTGTATCTACAAAATTCGATATAGCATTTCAGAAGTAAGAAGTACACGTCACAATACGTCTTATTTCTAGGGTGTTTTGTTGTTTCACGTCTTTAAATCAAAAACACTTTCAATCTTCACATGGACACATGGTAAAAACTACTCACAAACTGTTGTCGCTCAAAAGTTCCTATCCAGTACTTTCATTTACATGTAGGGTAGTTGATGTAAATTACATTCACTGCTTATACAGTCCATTACACACTGATCATAGCTTTGATGGTTTTCACTGGCTCAGCCGAATTTAAATCATTCGTAAAAATAGGGGTCGGTTTCAGAGAACTTACTCAACCGTACGCTATTAGACAGGGCAGTAGGGAAAGTCAAAGAACACAAAGCAATCGTTTGTCAACAATCAACTAAACAATTTACTAAAACGGAGCAAAACTGCTGACAAGTACACAGCAAAATCATGAAGACAAATATACACGTACTATAAGGTATATATTAGGTGATGTTAGCGTTACGTATTCAGTGTGTTGCCAAGGTGAGTCTGGGAATTAGAAAAGCCGACAAAAATTTGCATACAGCATTTATTGCGGGAATATGACAAAACAATTCACAAGAACAAACCAAAAGAAATGACAAGTGCACTACACTTCATAGCGAATAGGAGAAAGATAGATATACGCCGTGGTTTATATGAAACGATGTTAGGTGTTATTTAAAGTCATAATCATAAACATGACATGAATGCCATCAAATAGTAATGTGGTAACAGTGTTATTGTACTTAACAACAAGATCGCTGTATCTGCCAAGCAAACTTTAATTTGAACTATTAAGGCCAGTCCGTCACTGCAAAACTCTTGGTTTAGACAACAAGACAGTGTTGTTGTTTAAAATTTTAAATTCGCGACACGTAGGGAGAACGTTTAATACAACAAAGCGAAATTGAAACACTCCAACTAGTGTGCGACTCTCTCCGCAAATATTTATTCAAATGAACCAGATTCCTAATGTACATAATCGACAGCTTGGGACACTCTACATTGAGATGTAATTGGAACCACCACCACTGTTCACCAAGATCAATTAGGCCACGAGGTAATTCGCCTCATGTCTTCAGTTGTATGTTGGTAAGGCCATATTTTGTACATGCAATTATTTCTTAAATAAATTCCATAATGTTTACTTGCGAATCCCCAGTTTGAGTTCCAGACTCTTATTTAATTTAGTTCACTGTTTTCATTACGTAAGTCATGCTTGCATAAAGTTGTTTGCATTAATTCATAAATGTACCACCAATAAACACTTTAATGACACACATGTGTCCCCGTAAAACACTCAGTGTTTTATTTTGTTTTAGTTTATTTTGTGTGTTTACATTGTGTTTAATTTTCATCTAAAGCGACAAACACTTTTCCAAAAGCACAAAATCGCTACAGTATTGATAGTAAATACAGGTGTAACAATATATTACATGTTTTCTTTTTAATTTCAACAGCCTGCTTTCATTTAACGGTGTGTTATAATGAGAAAAACATAAAAGTGCTTCCAGGGTTTTAGTGCACTAATTATAGTCATCATATGATTAAAACCTATTACAGACATCGTGACAGCTAGCTAAAGAACAGAAACAATAATTTGACAAGCATTATTACGAAGAAAATATCACTATCATAACTTCACTGTCCCTGGTATTCACTGTCGAGGTAACGAACTCAACTTCAAGTGTTCTAATTGGTTTACATAAAGTGATACATTTCCAAAGGGAATTGAACACGAAGTCACATTTAATAATTTATTGGTTTAAATTTGAAATTTGTTACATGATATTGCTACACTGTAAACTATGTTTTATAATATGACAAATGTTTTCTCCAACTTTTAAAGTGTTTTATAATTAAACACACTAAGTTTTTTCTTAAAATCGCGAATGACTTATTTTAAAACATCGCTGTTTAATAAAATAAAACACTTTTACTGTTGTGTTAAAACTTTCAAAGTGTTTAAAAGAGTGCCCACTTAAAGTGAGCATAATTACGAAAAGTGTGTTTGATAAATACACTTGAAGTCAGTGTTTATATTGCAACATTTCAGGGATGTTTTTACACCTAACACATTATGTAAAGTGTTTCAAATAGACAGGGACATGTATAAAAAGTACTTATTATCACAACACTTTTAAAAAGTGATTTTTACTAGACACGCATTTTGAAAAACGTTTCCACCAGAAGTATGTATCGAAAAAAGTGTTTATCATCGAAACACTTTGGAAAGTGCTTTCCCGCAAAACACAATCTGAATATTGGCAATGCTTGTAGCAGGGACATATTTTAAAATGAATTTCCACTGATAACATGGTAAAACACATTATCATTTCGGAAATACTAGTATATCAAATGATGTGTTTCATGATAAAACACTTTGCATTATTGTACATTAATACCAACATATGATAAACAAATCACACAATCAAGTACGTATTTAATCCTAAATATAAACATTAATAAGGTGTGTTTGAGTAAAATATTAATCAAAACAGAATGTGCAGCAGAATAAGTACGTTCACTGGAATTCAAACTTCTTGTGAAACTGCAGATGCAATGCCCAATAACTGTTAAAATTGACACTTCAAAATAGATGAGTAATTAACTGAAACAAACAATAACATCTTCAAACCATTTCTTCATTGACATCAATGAAAGTGCCCAATCTTGTTGTACCGAGTGCAATCTCTCCGGGCACATCGAATTCCTGGGAAAAACAGAAATAGTGGAACAAACAAAACAATCATCAATTCCAGAGGAACATGCTCGTTAGAAATAAATTTACCCTATTGCAATCCCATTCTAATTTAATCCTCGAATTTGCATATATGCACTAAATACATTTATTTCACTCATCTTCTTGTTTCAAGCAAGAGGATAATTGAATCAGAAATATGTGATGTAAAAATATTAGTGTTGTTAAAAGGTAATGCACATGTAATGTGAAAATGCGCCATGTTTCCGGAGGATGTCGGCGAGAAGATTATGCAGTATGGAATTATCTGGTCCTGTGAACATTTGAGTTCAATCGGCTATTGCAACAATATCATCGTACCTTCGGGTTTATTTAGGTTAATTCCGATCGAAAATGCATCATTCGGTCCAAGTAGTTGTTGCTTCTATAACGAATATGCCACCTATCCACATACTCCCGATATGATAATTCTGTCATGAATTAGTTTTTGCGTATCTGTTAATCGACTTAATTAGCTGATTATTAGCGAATTGCTGTGTTATGTCTGTCATCGTTTAGGCCTATTTGAAGTTTTGGACGGAACTTGGCTCAGTGATTTGGAATTAATTACGAGATAACCGTCGCTATTATGACTACGAATTCTGACAGTTGGTATTCGTAGTTATTAATGTAGTGAACGATTAATCAAAAGATATGACGTATTCAGTACTTAGTGTTATTGGCTTTATGATTGAAGGTTACGCCCTAGAGTCCTTTTACTGTTTTGTAATTGGTTAGAGTTTTGAAAATGAATAAAGAGAGTTTTGAGTTGGTCTTGGGGAGTACTCCACGAGAGACGCAGTCCAGGAGAGTGTAAGTCCAGTCCTGGAGAGCTTTGGGGCGAGTGTTGACGCAGTCTAAGAGAGTCTTGGGTCAGCCTTGCGATAGTCTTGGGGACTTTTCCCCAGGGCGCTGTGTCTTATAGAATGCTCAAAAGACCGACTAAGACGGGAGTTGAAACGTATTTCGTTGTGTGTGTCATTTGACTGTAAAGCTTAAGTGAATTCCTGATTCCGTACCTCGAGGGGACGCGATAGAGAGACGAGACGAGATTCCCCCCTGACAAGTGTGGAGAACCCCTGAGAAAAGAAGAATTTCCCCCTGATAATTCAATCATTGAATGAGCGTGCGCACGACACAAGTTATCAGTTACTTGAACACGCAACATATAATAGTGTTCACTGTGAACACCGTCGTTTACGAAAGGTATCTCAACATGTTTACAAAGAAGTAGCAAACTAAATTATTGTACAATTTTTGTTTTCATATTGTATATATTGTATTGATATATATGTTTATAGGTACAACATCACCAGTTGATATCTTAATCTGTTTTCCGGTTCTCGAATCGGCTCTGCTGAAAAGAAAAACGGTATTCATTTGAATACTTACCGCATGTCTCCCAGTCATCAACATATTCCTTGATGGTACACAGTGGTTTGCGACATAGTAATTTAGAAGTTTCACTCCGTTGCCAGCCAGTCTGTCAATTGTAGGGGTATTCAATACAGGATTGTTATACCCAACGTCATTCCATCCAAGATCGTCCACAACTATGAGCACTATATGTGGAGGTGTTGCTACGCCCAATACAATGCGTGATATGAAAAGCAATAGGAAACAAACGATAGTGCTCGTCATTTCCCCGTCCAAGTATTACAGAGTAAATTGGCAGAGTTGGCAATACATGCTATGCTATACACGCACCAACACGTGTCATCACACGCACTGTGATTAGCTGTCGCAAATCTACAATGAATGACGTAGACATCTGTTTGAGAGTATTAATTGTGTGTTATTGTGAATCGAACTAAGTATTAATAGCAAATATTGATTTGTGATTTTTGACAGAGTAAGATTATTTGCTATTTTCTTTTTCTGTACACCAACATATATTTATAATTAGATACAATGGATACAATGAACAATCCTGCAGGTGTTCCGAAAATACTATAAATCATGTGCTACAATAGGGTAGATTACAGATTAATTATATGCGATATAACTATGCGTATAGTCCACCATCCTCTCTGCTTTATTTATGCCTTCACAGAAATTATAAAAAAGACACATGTATTGCCATGTATGTTGGATATATTGCAATGATTGTTCAACAAAGCATTATTCATGTTATGACTGAGTGTCAGGAAACATCAAGGCCCCGTACCATGGATATGAATACAATGTTGTTTTCGAAAACGAAAGAAGATTGTTAAATTAGCATTTAATACTAAATTCGGCATGAAATAAAACTGTCAGTTGCCAATAACAACGGATTTCAATATCGAAATTAAGGAATTCTTAAGTATATCGTGGTCTGCTTTGTATGTTAAAGCTCACTCGGTCGCTTCTAGATTTCGAAACTGATGCCGCTGCTCGACGTTGGCTCCCGATTGGGTCGCCCGATCGTGTCGATGAACTAGGGTTAGCCCGGGAGTGATTTATCCACGCAAATGCGATAAACGAAGTCTACAGAGCGCGGGTAAAGAGAGATAAATTTGTCCTATTTTTTGTAGTGAGTGCAAAACAATATCAACGAAAGATCGACGTATTTCCCTAGCGTCGACTTCTCGGTAAATGTCACAGTCCGGAGGAAAGGTTTGCATGATAGTCGATCCGCAGATTGAGTGAAAAGTCTGAGGACTCGTAAATAAACATTACGGTATATATGCAAACCAGACAATCACCAAATGTGGCGTAATTCAATGCAGAATGAGATGGTCGTGACATAAACTTCAGAAAATAGTTTTATGTCAAGCATCAGTTTTTGGAAGAAATAACTGTGTGTACGCTTATATGGACTTGTACAGCGGAAAATCGAGACACGTGGTGAATTTGGGACCCCGTTATCGGGAATAGGATTTGTATAGATTTAACCTATTTTTTGTGAAAATGTTTCTTTCAATTATTGTTTTTTTTGTTTGTTTCAATATTTTTTCTCCAGGAATGTGATTTACTTAACACCACATGGCACATTCATTTGTATCAAAGGCGAAATATGTTATTGTTTATTTTCATTTTACCATATTTGATATATTTTGCTCATAACCACTTTCCAAAATGTATTTTCGGTGCAGATACTTATGTGCCACGTGCACGTGTTCTGATAATGATTTTGAAATTGTGTTTCGCGTTATCATACGTTAATTTAGCCCTTCTACAATAATGTCTTGATATTTGATCTTGTTGCATTATGTTTATTATTATTATTTTTTATTGAAGCATTGGTGTACTTATAGTTGATTTGTAATAAACACCATTGCAATATTTTACTAAAAAATACATGCAAAACCCGATCTAACCAGATTTAGTACGATCTGACTGTTGTGGCACAATCTGGTTATATTTAGCAATATTGAATTTGAAAAGCGTCTACTTATCGTTCAGGTTTGAACATTGTGTTAATTGTTTGTGTACGTTATCGTCTGCGACAATTATGTTACATTTATTGTATCAGGTGTTTTGTTAACAGTTCTACATCAGTGAATTAATGGGAAATTTTCACAGATGCATCATCAAGTAGTTAATCCGGATTGATATGTTATATAATTTATCGTAACATGTGTTCACATTTTCCAAACAATCTCTTTTGTTTGTGTCTGATTCATTGTTTGCATTGTTTGTGGTGTACGATAATTTGTACTTCGTCATAACGGAATATAAATATTATTTACATGCAATATCCCTATGTGCGTAAGATCGAATGTCTTTTGCTCGTAAAATTCTATGGACAACTGAAACATAAGCGTCCACGACGCGATACTGTCGATTTCCTGTTTATCTAGCGCGTAATTTCAATTTAGATATTTTCCAGGATATCATAATTGAAATAATGCACTGTTCATTGTTGCGTGATAACAGGGATAAGTCTCGTCGGTTATTGTACTCATCCTCCTGCCTTGCCCTGTCATTGTGATGCAGCATGACGTCCTTTATTTCCTAAGTAATGGGCAACATGCCAACCTATAATCCGCGCGAGAACAATTTGTGCATCAATGATGTTCATCCTGAGCTGAATGTGCGTTCATTATTATTATTATTGTGTAGTATAGTCTCCACCAGTCAATTTGCTGCTATCATAAAGCAGAACATTTGACAATTATCATAGCTGTACAACAGTACCTCCATAGATAGAAGGAATGTGGCTGCACCAACGTCACACGCAAACAGTATTGTTGTAGTTCATTCTCGCCAATTATGTTTTTAAATTGTCACGCGTAAAATAAAAATAGAAAACGAGATTTTATATGTGAAATATTAAATGTGATCATATATATTGCGAGTGGACGAATGGTTGATATGAGGTGTGAAGTAGCATTTTAGTGCATCCGTTATAGAGTCCCTATGCCCATAAACTCGCACTACGCTCCGCTGATTAAATATTTCGGTCAGATCGCCGGTGCTTGCTGACACTGTTTTTTGTTCGTGCAAATTGTGACATTCGCCAAAGAGACGGCGCTGAAGAAACAGAAGTCATAAGTCATTTTTGCAAAAATGTTGTACTACATACTACAAAAGGCAGAAAAAAAAAACAATTTCTCCCTCTTAATCTTTTAATACCTTCTCCTTTGTTTCCGAATACACCATCGTATTCAACATACCGTGTCGAAGTCGAAGTGCACCTTATAAGAATTAACTATTGTGATCAGGTCACCAGTAACATAGTAACTATTGCAGCGGCTATTGTTTGGTAGAGCCGAGTTCAAATCCGGGTTTGAACATTGAAAACGATCGACTTTATATATTATGAGATTTGATGCGTACATACAATGCGAACATATAAATAACGGCCGTGATCACAGTCAGCCGGCGTACACGAGATGATAACATAAGATGGCGGCCCCTATAAAGTAAATATTGGTAAATCAATCACTTTTATTATCTTGTCTACGCCAGCTGTAGTTTTGTAGTTTTGCCAAAAGTATTTTATTTGCATTGTATGTGGGTAAAATATGAAAAAAAATCGGATAACAGTAGAAGACTTGCCTGTCAAGATATTGGGTAGGCAGTCGGTGATTTGATTTTCCAACACTCACAATGCATTCACACAAACATCACGACCAGAAATCCTCGAAGCGAGGTATAGCCCAGGATCACGTTCGACGCTGTCTTGAAAAGCCATCATAAAAAAGGTTTATTACAAGCATGTGAAACTAATAAACTAATGGATGAGACATATGTTTTGTTTTTAGGATGAAAATTTGACTCCAATTTTGATTTTGGCACGGATTTTAGTTGAATATAATTGAGCCTGGCATTCATGCATCACGCACTGAACCCCAGGACGATGACAACTATCAGTGTTGTTGAACGAAAGTGTCTACAATGAACACAAGTATCTTGTATGTTTCGCGGTAACCCGGCTTTCGACATTTATACACTCGCGTAGTATTTATTTTATTGAAAAAAAACAAGAGAATGTATGCATGTATTGCGTTTTTTTTAAAAAATAGGCATCAAAGACAATTGGCAAGAAGAACAGTTCACTATACTGAAGACGAACTAATTAACAAACTATATATATATATATATATATATATATATATATATATATATATATATATATATATATATATATATATATATATATATCAGTAATTTTAATGAAAAAAAAAGTAATAGTGACACCTGTTGTTTAGTGTGATGGACCCCCACGGTTGGGTACAGGAGCTTAACAGTTTATAATTAAAAGTGTTTTCCATAAGAAACATGAAACCATATCATACATGGCCTTATAAACAGCCTTTTACTTCATAGTGGTGTGGGTGGAGTAAAGCTGTGATTATTTTTATTACTTTCTGACCATCTAGTTTGCCATTTACCATGTCCATATAAACTAAAGCTCCAGCCAATATCAGATTTGACTACTTGTTTCAAGCTATGGCACTTGGAAATGAGTATGGTGACATGTGGCAAATGTCCAACTGTCTTGGTTAATAAGATTGGTTAAATTTCAACTAGAAACAGGTAAACCAGTGTACCTGTATGTATGAAGCCAGTGAATTTTATTCAAGCCAAAGAAACTGCATCTATTTATATAAATACACATGGACAGAGAATATTATCTTGGAGCACTAAATGTGACAATTGCCCTACTGTCTGTGATAAATATACCACACCAGCTACATAGTGCCCGACGAGGAGTTGAGTAGGTAGTGAAGAAAAACATTGACTGAAGCCTGGCAGAGGACTGAATTGTTGTCAACAGCAAGAAACATACTGGGAAAGTCACAGACAGTGAAAAAACAATCATAAAAACACACAGGCATATAAATACTAACTTTCTAGGATCTTTATTGACTCCAAGTAACCACAAAGCCCAGACACAAATAC